AGGAGAAAGCTTGATTAATCCAAGAACTCCCTGTTTTTAATACACCATTAAAATCAAAACTAAGAACTTGAAGCATACATGCATGTAATAGTTTCTTCAAAGACACAGTTAAATTTAATCACCTCGACAGCGTTCAACGTTGAATTAAGCAAAGTTGGAAGAGCCCTTGTTCCAGGATAAGCATCTCCTTCAATGGATAAATGCTGGAATCGAACTTCAATCTTTGGAACATCAATTCCCACTCTATTAGTTCTCTCTCGGAGTCTACTAAGAAACCTCTCATTATCATCTTCCACAACTCTTAGTATACTTTCCATGAGGTTCTTCTTGTCATTCATGTCGAGGTTCGTGATGTCAACTTGTTCGTATCCGATTTTTCCTTCATCGAGGGCATGCTTCAGCATCGCTTGTCGGATACGATCGTTTGTCGGAAGCCGTTCGATGGCGGCCCATTTGAGTTCCTCTTCGTCTTCTTCCCTTCCGCTTCGTTGGAAAACATCGGTTTGATTGTTCCATGCTCCTCGGATACTAGCCGAAGCCCAACCTCTCCTGCTCCCCGATGTCAAACTCATATTTCTCCGGCTCAACGAGCGGTTGCTGCTCATTGAACGACTCATCGACCGGACAGGGTTGTCTCCCGCAAATGCCGATGCCATGACCAATGCCTTTCGTTCTTCTTCTACTTTGCTGCTATATAATTAACGTTTGACAACTCAAACAACCAAAAGAATTAAACATATGTGAAAGGAATGTAGATTCTGAGGTGGTCGGAGAGGAGGCACGGTTTATATAGCTGAAGATCATTACAAGATGAGTGTTGTTCCGACAGAAACAGGCATTCCACAGTTTGAAATAAGGATGAAACATTTTTCATGTAATTATTCTGATTTTCGTCATCTTTCTCTCTTCGTTTAGCAGTTAATATTTTAATAATCATCAACGACATATTTCATGATTTTATCAATAAATCATCTCCATCAAGTTTTTTTTTATTATTTATTTCTAGATCATAATTGTGTAACTGTGAACTTCCATCCATTGAAAGAAAAATTTAAACGTATGAAAAATTTATTTGATAAATTTAATGCTTAAGTTATTAAAATATTAATTATATAAAAATAAAATAATATCAGCATAATGTAGAAAATACAATATCATATGGTATATTATATGAGGTTAATCATGGAATCATAGACCGCGTAACAACAAAACTGGAAATTTATTTTTCCTTCTCACGATTAGATTCGAAGTTTAATTAATGCCATGTTTTAACGGGTAGTTTTGCATGAGAGATTATTTTGTCGTGTCGTCTACAACCGGTGGACACCATTAACAGAAATTAATATTAATTTAAATATTTTCAATTTAAAATTTAAAATAAACTGCATAAAATATTATTAAGTGTTGTATGGTTTATATTATTGAAATTTTAACTTTTTTTAATTATAACACTAAACTTTGATTTTTGTTTTAATATGCCACTAGATTGTTAAATTTTAACGGTACGATAAAATAGACACATCTTTTGTCACGGTAAAGACGTGAATAAAACGACGTTAAACGACAATGACTATTGATACTCAAAATGATGTCGTTTTAGGCACTAAACTTCAATGTGCATCAATTTTTCTATTAAATTTTTAATCAAATTATTTTGTTACCACACTTTTCGATCTCTGTCGACTGCCAATCATCATCCATCATCGATCTTTTTTGCAGTAAGATCGATACCAAAATATTCGTATTTCACTCCTCTTATTTCTCTTAGGATCGGTTTTCCATGAAATTCAATTAAAAATTATTGAAAATTTATTTAAAAATTTGAAGTATTAATACTCTGATCTATTTCAATGATCGTTCGATTAGGTTATTTTTTAGGTATGTCGTTCGTCTTCTCAAATAAATATTTCTCACTGTTTGAATTTTTAAACAAATACCTCAATTAAAAATGTTAGTTTTTTGTTTAATTTTATCAATTGTCATGAAAAATTAATCTTAGGAGAAGAAAAAAAGAAGTAAAATGTGAATGTTTTAGTACCAATCTTTCCACGAAAGACGATCAATGGTGGACGACGATTAACTGCTGGTGGCGGCAGAAAAAGTATAATGCTAAAAATGAAACTGTTTAAAAGTGACGAAATCGATACACAACTAAATTTCAATGCCTAAAATGGCATCAATTTATCCACATTATCACAATGACAAAAAATATGCGTCATGCCTAAAATGGCATCAATTTATCCACATTATCACAATGACAAAAAATATGCGTCATAAAAAATTTAACGATTCAGCGGTATAATTGAAGTCAAAACTAAAGTTTAGTAGTATTAGATAAATAGAAAGTTCAATGATATAAACAAAAAATTATCTTAAATTAGCACGAATTAAGTTATATCAGTGATAAAAAATTGATGTTATTCATTGAGGTCATGTGTTTAAACATCATAAATATTAAAAATGTGAACATTTCACGTTAAATGATTAAAAATTATCTTTTAAATATATATTATCTTATACTTATATCAAATTAATCGTATTTTTAAAAATTAATTTACTTTTACGTGGCTTCGGCCCTCAATTAAATGTTAAAAATGTAGTTGTAATGTCAATGTAACCACCACATACTTACTTGTCCGGGTTATATCCGTTCAAATTGCAGACCAACTGATCAGCTTTTAAGATTACTTGAACAGCCTGTCTACTCCATGAGATTGCATGAAATAAGGGGAAAACTATACATTTAATGCTCTAATTATCACTTTTATTTATGTTTAGTCATTCGATTATATTTTTTAAAATCATATTTAATATTACATTTTAATTTCATTTTGTTTATCTATAGTAAAAAAATTAACAATGATATTGACATGTAACATCATCTTTGATTTTTTTAAAAAGATGTCATGTCAGTAGTTATTTTTTTAACATCATGTAAATAAAATAGAATCAAAATGTAACGTTAAGTAGGGTGAGCGTTCGATCGAGTCGAGTCAAAAAATTTTGAGTTATTGGAGTTGATAAGTTCTATTTTATATCTCGGATTTGATTTGAAATTTTTTCGAGTCGAGTCGGTTTTATAAAATTCGAGTTGAGTCAAAATTTTGTGTTTCTATTTAAATTTAATAATAATATTTATAATATTATGAAATTATTTAATTCTAATTTAAATGATATTTTATAATCATATACAATATATATATATATATACATTTTTTTGTATTTTTTTCATATGTGATTTACATATACCATATAAAGTTGAGGGAGTCAACTCAAATTTTGACTTAAACTTGAAAATCAATCTACTAATTATTAAAATTTTCAAGTTATTCGAGTTGTATTTTACAACTCGATTTGAATTTGAATTTTTTTCGAGTCTAGTCGAGTTTATGAAATTATAATTCGAACTCAATTTAAGTCGAGTTTTTTCGAATCGAGTCGAGTAAAAAATCAATTTTTCGAGTCGAGTCGAGTTTTGCTCACCCCTAATGTTAAGTATGATTTTGAAAAAGATAATAATCGACCAAAAACTAGACAAAGATGATAGTTGAAGTACTAAGTGTAGTTTACCCAAAAAGAAGCAATAGCGAAAGACAACTGAGCTACCTAAAGGATATTAAGGTTGCACGTCTACGCCATCATCTTCATTATTCATTACAACCAAGCTTTCATGTTTTCCAGAAATTTATTCAGCAGTATTGACATTAATTTACAGACTCCATGGAAAAAATAACCTTTCCTCTCATATTGTACCCATTTTCGGCCGTATCAGGATGCTTCCTCTGCAAAATCTGTATTCCCCTAGATGAAAACATATGCGTTGAACCTAACAAAAAAATATACAAACATAAATCCGGATATCGTATCGTGTCGTGTTTATCGTGATTACATACATGAATATTACGGCTGCAAATAGAGCTGACACTATGGGAAAAAAAAGTAAAGATGATGAATTAGTAGTTACTTGTTTTCCTTTGAATGTAGTGTTGTTCCGGGGCTGAAAGTTTCTGAGCCAGGACGACGGCGGAGCAATCTCGCCGACGGCTTGAATTCGGAGCTGGGAACGAGTCCGTTTGGGCGTCAAAACAAGAACATCAAAAAGGCGAATGAAAATGCCGGCAAGTCCAAGCAACACCACCATGGCAATGATCTCCACAAGAAGCAATATTATTAGTTCCATGGAGGGCATCTGATGGATACCTTAAATCTTTTTAATATATACAAATTTGAACTTGATGGAATATGGTATGATTACTTGGTCAGCAAAGTCGATGAGGTGGTTGGGTTTCCCTTGTTGAATGAGTCCCTCCATATTTTCTAACTTATCAAACTGTACCATGATTAGTTGATAAAGATGTTATTCAACAATAATTTATAATTTATTTTAAGGTTAAGGGTCACTTTTGTCTTTGTAGTAGACTTAATTTATTATTTTCATCTCTATCGTATTTTCACATCAATTTAGCCCTCAAAATTATTTAATTGCTTCATTCTAAACCCTACTTAAAACCCTAAACCCTAGAGTTATAATTTTAAGTTAAGAGTATGACATAGAATGATGCAATTGAGCAATTTTGGGGACTAAATTGATGCGAAAATACGATAAGAGTGAAAGTGATAAATTGAGTTTACTACATGGACAAAAGTTACCCTTTTGTCTTTATTTTATTAGTAAAATAATTTATTTTTTTATTATTAGACTTGGGTATGAACAAATTAAGTTTGGGGAAGAAACCTCAAATAAGATTTTTAATAAATTAGACAAGCTAATATTTTTATAAAGATATTATTTGTTTCATTAATTAATTACATTTTTCAGATAAATATTAAAATTCTAATATTTATAGAGATGAGATTATATGAATATTCTTAATCACGGATCAATTAATAGGTTTTATTATTATTACTTTATTTGTTATAAAAGAGGACACAATTTAAGGTGCAAATACAATAATATGATTCTATATTGTTAAATTTTACTATAAGATTTTTCGAACCACTTTAATTATATATGTGTTTCATTTATATTTTATATTTTCCATCTCATTTAAATAGTTTTTTATTGATCTTTTTATAATCAAAATCTTTTATTTTAATTTCTTATCATTTAAATTTTATTATTATTAACACTTTAAGAAAATATATTTTAAAAACTTCATATATTATAAAATAAAGTTATTTAAAATAATTATAATTAAAATTTGAAAAGTTTTACCACCAAAACATTTTAATGGAATAAAACAAAATAAGACGTGGGGGATATGATAACAAAAATAACTAATAAAAACAAGATTTTTTTTGGATAAATTAATCAGTTTCATTATCCAAAGAACAAGTTCAACAACAAGAACAGAAACTGCTACAAAACCAGCAGTGTTTTGTAGGCAAAACTGCTAGGTTAATGCAAATGGAAACGTTAATTCCCAAAATAATGTTATCAGCTGATTATTTCCCCAAATGGGGTGTTTGCTACAGAAAAATGCAAAAGTTGGGATATCTCGGCGTCTTTAGTGTTGCATTTTGAACCTCTCGACGTCTTCAACTATTGTTGGATATCTCGGCGTCTTTTGTATTTGTTTGAGGATGTCTCGGCGTCTTCAACATAATTTCCATGTAAAATAGGATCTCTCGGCGCCTTTGCATGCAAATTGGGACAATTTCCATGCTCGTTGGATATCTAGGCGTCTTTCATCTGGAGTTTGCAGCAAAACCAATCAATAAAAGCAAATCAATAATGCCAAAGCAAAATTTATAAAAGCAATTGCAAAAGCATTGGGGTCGGGGACATCATTAAACAAAAACATAAATTTTATTAAAGAAAGGTGTTGTTAAAAGGAAATTTATAAAAGCATTCATTTGTAAAGCAATAATGGTGTTATTAATGAAATTATAATTTTTTAATTTTGTAGATTATATTTGATTCAATTACTCGAGTATATATACATATTTATTACTTAAGGGTTTAAAACGTTAATTTTAAATACTTACTGAAATGAAATAATAATTTAGTAAAATTTAATAATAATGATTTAATCATTATTAAATTTTAACTACTAATGATTTAATAATAATAATGTAATTATTTAGTAGTAAAAAACTCAATTTAATAGCAATGATATTTGATTCAATTACTTTAATTTGATACAAATAATTCGAATAATGATTACAACTCTTGATGGTGTCAGGGTGTTGTTGAGTAATAATGTCGAGGCACACATCGGTTTCATTGTGGTCGTTGCACTTGTTCAGGAGTTTGTTCATCATAACCAACCTGCTCATTCATCGAGGGCATAGGTTCCGGTGTTGTAAATATTTGCCCACCACCACTATGCTCTCCCATCTGAGGACAAATACTCGTACTTGTCATCATAGATGTCATTTGATCAAAATCATTTGTTGCCCCAAACATGGGAGAGAACATGAGTGATTGATGAGGAACATGTTGAGGAGTGTAGGGCGTAACACCAGAATCACCAACCACTTGACTAAATGATCTTGTGTGATCAAAAGATTCTGGTGGGATATTATACATTGCCTCTTGTTCTGCTCCATGGTGAGAACTCTCACTCCCACTCCCACTCCCATTTCTTCTTGGTTTCTCGGGTTTAGGGTTTATGGTTTAGGGTTTAGGGTTTAGGGTTTAGGGTTTAGGGTTTAGGTTTAGGGTTTAGGGTAATCCGAACTCTGGAAGTCAAAGTCATCCGCTTGTATGGGAGTGAGCGTTGACAAGTATGAACTCATGTTGTTCAAATGATTGATATGGTTGGCATGCCTCACCGGTAAAGCGAATTTATTACTAGTAATGGTTTAGGGTTTAGGGTAATTCGAACTCTGGTGTTACGCCCTACACTCCTCAACATGTTCCTCATCAATCACTCATGTTCTCTCCCATGTTTGGGGCAATAAATGATGTTGATCAGATGATATCTATGATGACAAGTACAAGTATTTGTCCTCGTATGGGTGAGCATAGTGGTGGTGGGCAAATATTTACAACACCGAAACCTATGCCCTCGATGAATGAGCATGTTGGTTATGATGAACAAACTCCTGAACAAGTGAAACGACCACAACGAAACCGACGTGCGCCTCGACATTACTACTCAACAACACCCCGACACCGTCAAGAGTTGTAATCATTATTCAAATTATTTGTATCAAATTGAAGTAATTGAATCGAATATCATTACTATTAAATTGGGTTTTTACTACTAAATAATTATTAGTAATAATTATTAAATCATTATTAGTAATTATTACAATTTCATTATTTCAAATCATTACTAAATCATTTGTATCAAATCATTAAATATTAATAATAAAAATTATTAGTATCATTATTAGTTAATCATTACTAATCATTACTAAATCATATCATTACTAAATCATTAAATATTAAATCATTAAATTTATAATTAGTAAATCATTATTAGTAATCATGAATTTAATTAGTAAATCATTTATATCAAATCATTACATTATTATTATTAAATCATTAGTAGTTAAATCATTAAATTCATAATTAGTAAATCGTTATTAGTAATTACTAAAATTGAGTATTATTAGTAAATTCATTTGAAATGACCATCCAGCTCAGTTGGTAGAGCACAAGGTTCTTAACCTTAAGGTCGTGGGATCGAGTCCCATGGAGGGTATTTCATAATTCGGAGGTCTCCTACGGAAGCTGCTCTCAACCTATTATTGGGGGCAGCCTACTATCTTACCTCCCCTTACCTCATTACATATGGGAACAAGGGACAACCATAGTAAATTCATTGAAGTAATTGAATCAAATATCATTGCTATTAAATTGAGTTTTTTACTACTAGATAATTACATTATTATTATTAAATCATTAGTAGTTAAAATTTAATAATGATTAAATCATTATTATTAAATTTTATTAAATTATTATTTCATTTCAGTAAGTATTTAAAATTGGCGTTTTAAACCCTTAAGTAATAAATATGTATATATACTCGAGTAATTGAATCAAATATAATCTACAAAATTACAAAATTATAATTTCATTAATAACACCATTATTGCTTTACAAATGAATGCTTTTATAAATTTCCTTTTAACATCACCTTTCTTTAATAAAATTTATGCTTTTGTTTAATTATGTCCCCAGCCCCAATGCTTTTGCAATTGCTTTTATAAATTTTGCTTTGGCATTATTGATTTGCTTTTATTGATTGGTTTTGCTGCAAACTCAAAACACATGAAAGACGCCTTGATATCCAACGAGCATGGAAATTGTCCCAATTTGCATGTAAAGACGCCAAGAGATCCTATTTTACATGGAAATTGTGTTGAAGACGCCGAGACATCCTCGAATAAATGCAAAAGACGTCGAGATATCCAACAATAGTTGAAGACGCTGAGAGGTTCAGAATGCAACACTAAAGACGCCGAGATATCCCAACTTTTGCATTTTTCTGTAGCAAACACCCCATTTGGAGAAATAATCGGCTGATAACATTATTTTGGGAATTAACGTTTCCCATTTGCATTAACCTGGCAGTTTTGTCGTGTTTTGTATATCAAAAAAATTACTTACAAAAGAATTAAGAGCAATTTATATTCCAAAGTGTACAAAGGGTAGAATTAGTGCTATCATTTCTATTTATGTTCCTATCCCTCAGCTGGAATCACACCACATCCTTAATGACAGTAAACAACTCTTGGGTGTTTCTGCAGTGACCTTGAAAGAGCCTCCTGTTTCTTTCTTCCCATAGGACATAGATGAGAGAATTAAGAGCAAGCTTCAAAATCAAAGTTAGCAAAGATTTACCATTCCAAGTAGAGCTTGCCCACGAAAAAAAAGCATCCCAAGAGGTTAAGGAATGTTGCAGACCAGTGTGGTGAAAACATAATTCCATAATTGTTGAGCCATATGACAATGGAGGAACAAGTGCTCCCTTGTTTCCCAAGGATCGTTACAAAATAAGCAATGGCATTCATTGATAATCCCCATTTGGTGAAGTCTCACTTTTATTGGAAGTCTATCAAGTAATGTCATCCAAGAAATCAAGTTGTGTTTAGGAATGTGTAAAGGAAACCAGATAATTTTCTGCCAGTGGACTTGGGATCTGTTATCACGAATTGCATCCTAAATTACAGAAACTTTCATTGTTCCAGCAGACAACACTGAGGAAGCCTCAGTTCTAAGTTTAAAAATACGCCTTAAGTTCCAGCTACAAGAGGGATGAACATAAAAACAAGATTGTACACGAAATAAACATGACAATTTTCCTCAATAATGAGGCTAATTCAAAGGCAGCGGGTAAGAAGTTTCTATCTCTTTGGGGTGGTCATATATTTAAAATTAATTTATTAAGTATTATTTTTTATATACGTGCCGACTCTAAATTTAATTTGTGTTTTTCCTAAATTTTTTTGTGCTCACCCTGGATTTATTTATGTCAAAAAATAAGTAAAAATGCATATTATAAACATTATTTTTATTTGAGTTTAAAAATCTACCCATCAAGGCCGAATTTAAATAAAACAAAAATATATTTAGTCAAAACTCAAATCCAATATGCAACTCAAATGTAATATTCAATCCAGATCCAATACTCTTAACCTCAATAGCAATCGGTAACCGATCAATTCAACCCTTCTAAATTCACTTTGCACCTAATATTGGAAACCAACAACATCATTCACTTTGTAAGGTTATTGATGGGTTGCTACATTGGTTGTGTCCATGATGAATTTTCCTCCGTGTTTGGTGCTGATGGTGGAAGTGACAAATGTAGTGGTTGCGTTTGTGACGGCGATATCGTCGTGGAAGAGATCAAATCAGTATACCAGAGCCACTGTTTTTTAACGTGATTTTGTGTGATGGGGTCTGTAAAATCTATTAAATATCATATAATTCATTATTTAACCAAATAAGGAGCTTGGTTTAGTGGTAAAGGTTATGCTATTCTATAGCTTTTGTCCAGGTTTGATTCTCCTCCCTTATGTTTCCCTTTTTAATAGATGCTTTAAACAAACACCAA